AGCATTAAGAGAGGGGTAAGGTCAGCCCTTCCCAAGTTCCATCTGGGATTTGAGTGCCAGACTTCAGGGCGCAGTGAGGAGGGGCGGGCGTTCCTTCTTGTTATTTGGATCTGCTTTGCATTCATTTTAAATTTCTGTGGAATTTATTACAAAGGGAGTCACTTGCATGTGTCTCCCTGGTGTTACTTCTCTCTCCCTATTTTTCTTTGAGGAACCATGTCCTTCCCCATCTCTGTCCAGTTGATTCTGGAGAGGCTTTCCGAACCCCTGATCCAGGCAACATATCAAACCTCTGAGTTGTCGGAGGCAGCACTCTGTCTGTCCGACTATAGGGACTTGTAAGAGATGCCTGCTTCACCCAGGCTAAGCCAGTGCAGACTCCTGTGGCGCTACTGGGTGAGAGGCAGTGCTTCCTGAATGGGGCTGACCGGCCAGCTGAATCGAGGCTGGAGATTCCTGTGGCCACCCTTGCCTTCCTGCCCATTGGCTTCGTTCTCATATGGTAGCAAAGAGATGGGGAAAAGAGGGAAGGAGGAGCGTGTTTGGTGACATTTTTGAGTGGCTCTGAATTCATCCATGTGGGCACTGTATCCTTGGACCTTCCAGTTAAATAAGCTCATAATGTCACTGTTTTTCCTTAAACTGGTTTAAACTGGTTATCTGTCAGTCGCAATCAGAAATAAAAAGAAAAAAGATCCCCAAACTCAAAACAAAACAGAACACTTCTCATTCATTTGGTGCAACAGCCTTGGTATTTTCAGGCCCATGGAGCAGAGTGGTATCTGATCCACGTCTGCAGCAGGGCCGTGTGGGGGACAGCGGGCTTGAGTTCCTTGTAGAAACAGAAGCTGTGTCACCTCAGGCAAGTCACTGACTTCTCTGTGTTGGGACCTCAAATTCCTTTATTTTAAAGGGACTGAGTCAGAGAGAAGCGTCCAAGCAGCCTCTTAGGGTTGAAAACTACAGGTTTCTAAGGGCAGTCCATGTCACGGCATCTTGACACAAGGCTCAGTTTTATGTGTTGATTTTGTTACTGGACTTTTTAAATCAGGATGAGGACATTCCCTAATATAAGGACACTGATTTCCCATGTGCTGGGTTTGATATTTGCTTGCTTTGAGTCCTAGATAAGCTGGATACACTTGTAGTTTCCTTAAACAGACTGACAATTGCTAGCCTGCTAGTCTGATTCCGTTCTTGATACAAACCCACCTGAAAACTCTGATGGGTCTTCCTTACTGCTGCATAGTTACTCATGTGCACGCTTTCTATCTCTGCCTGTCCTCCTTCTCTTCTTGATTTTGTGTGATTTCATTCATTTCTCTTTTTCTCACTCCGACCAGCATCTTTCTTCAATACATGCCCTTGACCAAGCCCAATAGTCTCTTTCACAAGCTTAAACTTTCCTTTTGGGGGCATCTGGGTGGTTAAGTCGGTTAAATGACTGAGTCTTGGTTTCGGCTCAGGTCATGATCTCGGGATTTTGTGAGTTCAAGCCCCACGTCGGGCTCGGCACTGGCAGTGTGGAGCCTGCTTGGGATTCTGTCTCTCCTTCTTTCTCTGCCCCTCCCCCACTCACACTGCTTCTGTCTCTTTCTCAAAAAAACACAAAAAACAAAAACCAAAACTTTCCTTTTGCATTTCCATATATTCTCTTGTTATCATAAGATGACCACACATGTATCCATCATTTACCTACCACTTAATGAGCATTTATTATAAAGCCAAGTACTTTATTTACTTTTGAGAGAGAAAGAGAAAACACAAGCAGGGGAGGGGCAAAGAGAGAAGGGGAGAGAGAGAGAGAATCCCAGGCAGACTCTGTGCTGCCAGCCAGCTCAGAGCCCAGACGTGGGGCTCGAACCCACCAACCAACCGTGAGATTGTGACCTGAGCCAAGACCAAGAGTCTGACGCCCAACTCACTGTGCCACCCAGGCGCCCTGCATATCATTTCTTTAATGTTCTCTCAAATACCCTACAAAATGGGTATTACAGATTGTGTGACTTTGGGGAACTTACTTAACTTTCCTTATCCTAAGTTACTTCATCTATAAATAATGAAAATAATGGGTATCAGAGCTGAAACTAGAAACGTGGTTTACATGTTTCCATTCCTATGTGTTCTAATAACATGGCTAATTTCCCCAGAATGTGTGCCAAATGCTAAGTCACACAGCTTTCAAACAAGCCAGCTGCCTTGAGACCTCTGATTTGATGGTTCATTGGTGACACCAGGCTGCTTCAGGGACAACCACTCATCTCTCAGAATGTCTTGCTCAGACGAGAGAGAGAATACAACAAAACAAGAACTCCAGAGAAAAGAGTCAAAACAAGATACATTCATAAACAAGCAAAAGAAGCTTCATAGAACGTACCCCTCTTCTGTCCACATTTCTCATCGAGAAAATAGGATCCTTTTAGGAAAAAAAATGAAAAGTGTGAGAAAGAGAGATGCACAGATGATGTGATAGGAAATTAGCTGGCTCTAAATCTGGACTCTCTTCCATACCTGAAAACATGAGAATCTGGATTTCATGGAGAACTGGTAAGATTTCCAGAGGAGGAACAAATGTACGTGTTTCTACCTAAAGGCTGTGGACACTGATGTACCTCCCGCCCAGCTTCTCAGCAGTGCTGGCAGAAGAGGCAATCCGTTTCTTGCTCCCACCAAGTCACAAGTGCAGATGATAACTTGTGGAAAATAATGGGAAACTGAGTGCCAGGGCTGAGCGGGGTCAGAAGCAAATCTGATGGACTCCCCCCACCCCCCTACCCCGCCCCACCTGCTCTTCAATTGCAGTTCTCTAGGAAATGGACTTCAACAGGGCTCTCCAGGACAGCTTTGTTCTTCCTTACTTGTACAAGGAGGAAATTACAGAGGTGAGCCTTCTGCCAAGTGAGAAAGCAGGGTCAAAAGGAGGGTGTGTGCTGGGAGGTGGGCCTGGCTGTAATGTGGGGTTGTTGTTATAAGGCTGTTATAGGAGATTCTCTAGTCAGCCTGGCAGACTACAGATCATGGGACTAGATTATGGGCTCATTCTTTTTATTATTTAGTTAATTTAATTTATTTTTTTTTTTTAATTTACATCCAAATTAGTTAGCATATA